TGAAAAAAAATAAAGGACCGCGGCTCCTTATTTTAACCAAGCTTCATCTCTACTCAACCATGCTCCTAGGCATGCAAAGTCCGCCTTGCAAGGTCGGGCTATCATTTGGGACCGAGGGGGTATGTTCCCCTTCCCTTGCTCTGAGCCTAGGGCCTACGATTGGCCTACACTAGGGCTGGCCCTCTGCCACCCGTGCCCCTAAGGGGTGGGCCCAATGGCCTACGCACACACCGGGTGCCTTGCGCCTTGCGCCACTTGCGCAAGCGCCCATGGCCCGACCCCTACACCACTGGTGCGGGTCCTTGGCCACCATGCCCAATCGCCGGGCAGCCGCTGGCCACTTGCCCCGGCTGGCCACAGCGGAAGCAAGTGCCTCGGAAGCCACGGAATTCTCCCGTAGGCGGCGGACCACGCTTTGGCACGAACGGCATGGGCATGCGGCCGCCTCCGCGATTTCCACGAGCAAACCCGCCCTCGGCGCGGTCCATTGCGGCCACGTCAGCGACGGCCTGCTTGAAAGGCCTTGAGGTAAGCAGACTCTTCTGCTGGTACAGCTTGAAACGCTTGGCCGTGCGGAAGTCGGAGGCGTCTTCGACTTGGAGAACTTCGAAGCGTCGCGATATGAGGGCGAGCGCGTCGGCGAGGAATTCGAGGCCGCCCGGCGCGTCGCCGTGCTGCACCTTGAACTCGGCGTGCTTCAGGTATGCCCGAAGGTCCTCCAGGACTTCCGCTTGCTCGCGCACGGCTGCGTTGAGGAAAGACGCCGCCGAGAGGGTGGTGTTAGTGGACGGGAGTGGTGGGAGGTGCTCCATGGGAATTGAATTTGCAGCAGTGCCGGGGACCTCACCAGCGTCATTGTCGGAGCCGTCGCTGTCGTTGTCGGCCGCCGGGGCAGGCGGGATGCTGGCGACGGCGTCTTTGGCGAGGCGTGGCGTCTTGGTTCCGCGTGTGGCCTTTTCTGTTTTTGCAGGTTCTTTTTTAGCAGATTCAGAAGCAGCAGGTTGAGCAGTTTCGGCGGCCGTAACACTCGTCGCCTGCTGCTGTAACAGCGTCAACAGCGCGTTGACCTGCGCAGGGGTCAACGACGGGGTCAATGTCGGGGTGGGCGTGTCAAACATGTGTATTTGTCATGTTTGTATAGACTGTATAGGGTAGCCTCTTAGAGGGTACAACACTTAGGTATATCTGTGTGTACCCTCTCTCTAACATCATTCACTTCTTCAATTTCTGTTATGGTATATTAGAGCCAAAGGTCTTGGGTTCAACTCCCAGTGCCAGCGCTGCAGAGGCGTTTGTGTCTTCCACCTATCCCAACGGGGGGGGGGGGTGTTGAGTGACCCACTGGGGTTGCCCTTAAGATCCTCGGGGAAGGGCCACTGGTGCAGAGCCTGGGGGGCTATGGGCGCACTTACCCGCTATTCAACAAGCCCTTTTAACCCAGTGGTTAGTGACTGGGTTTCTGACAGGGCGGCACGTCAGACGAGGCAGCCGCGCGCCCCCTTTTTCGCTGGCGAGAAGGACCCGCCACTTGCGGGGCTGGCGCGTGCTGCTGCTCGGCGTCAGGCGCGAGTGGCTGGCTCTGCCCAGCCACTTGCGCGTGTGGCTTAGAAGGGGGCGGGGGCGCGTCAGCAGGCTGACTGTTGACCTCGCCCCCTCCCAGCAGAACGTCAACCCCAGTTGGGGCGGCCGCCCCTTCTTCTGCCTGACGCTTGTTGCGCCGGTCGCCCGCAATTTCCGGGGCTTGGCGAGTAGACTCGGAATTGGGGTGGCCGGTGACGACGTTTGACTCGCCGTGATTATTCGTAGTCGGAGCCATGACGGATCGGTGAAACTTAAAAATTTCGGAGAGAAGAGTCTCTTAGAAACTTAGGACTCAAGGTTCTTAAACTTAGGAGGCTAGGTTGGCTAGGATACTAGGAAGAAGGCCGCCATGGAATAGCGTGAGGAAAAACGGATCTAGGAAGGGAGAGAATGTCGAGAAGAAAGGGGGTTGGATTAGGAAGAGAGGGGAGTACAAGGAGGGGTTTGTATCCCCTACAGAAAGGTTCAGTAACAACCTACCAAGCCTATATTAAATTATAACTTATATAATTTTAACACACCCCCTAGGCTTGGTAGTGTCAAGCCCACGCACACCCCCACACCCACACCCACACCCACACCCCCTAGCCCAGCACCCCCATTCCCAGCAGGAGCCGCAACGACTCCGGAAGAGGGTAGGTCTCACGGCCCCTTGAGACGGCAATGGCGGCAGCAGCGACAGTGACGACGGCGGCGGCGGCGGCGGTGTGCGGCGGCTCCAGGCCTGCGGCAACAGCGGCGGCGCCGGCGGCTCGAACGACAGAGGCTGGTGCGGCGGCCCCCGCCCTCTCGGCGGCATGTCCTGTCTCCTCGGCGGTGGAGAGGTCCCTCACATGGCAGTCATCGGCTGCAGCAAGAAAGGGGGGGATGCAGGGGAAGCAGGTGCAGGTGGGGGGGGGAGGGGAGGGGGCGGGGCGAGGCGAGTCTTCAGCGACGCGCCATAAGTGGCGCGGCGCTTACTGGCAGGAGGGCGGGCAGGTGGCGGTTACGACGGCGTGCTGCCCGCTGCCGCCCATCCACGCTGCCGCGGCAGCATGACGACGCCGCCAGGGCGCAGCGTCGACGCTGTGGCGGCACGCCGACGCTGCAACGACAGCAAGGTGACGCTGCCACGGCAAAGCGTCGACGCAACCGGCTGCGGCCCAACGGCGCCGTCGACGCTGCAGCAGGACGTCGACGTCGCGACGGCAGAGGCAGCGTCGATGCCGCAGCGGGACGTCGACGCTGCGACTGCAGAACGACGGCCCGACGCCACGGCAGCGCGTCGAGCCGGTCGCGGCACGACGCGGCCAGTGGCAGCGCGACGTCGCCACTGCAGCAAAACGCGGCCGCCATGGCCGCTCGAGATAATGAGAGTGAGGAGTAAATTGCGGAAGCGTGAGGAGGCGATCCAACAGGGAGGATCTCCTGCTCTGATACCATCTTAGAAACTTAGGACTCAAGGTTCTTAAACTTAGGAGGCTAGGTTGGCTAGGATACTAGGAAGAAGGCCGCCATGGAATAGCGTGAGGAAAAACGGATCTAGGAAGGGAGAGAATGTCGAGAAGAAAGGGGGTTGGATTAGGAAGAGAGGGGAGTACAAGGAGGGGTTTGTACCCCCTACAGAAAGGTTCAGTAACAACCTACCAAGCCTATATTAAATTATAACTTATATAATTTTAACAGAGTCGAGGGAGACTCGCCGCGAGGCAAAGTTCTAGTCTTAGCCAGCTTGAACGGGAGAAAGGCTAGAGCGGGAAAGTTGACTGAGCCGTTTGAAAAATGAGAGACGTGGGTGGAGGTAAATGAGCTCCAACCCACGTATATGTAGTTGGAGAAGGGCGAGTAGCGCGCTTTGACGATGCCCAACGCTTCAGTACAATCAACTTCGCTTTCACAATGCACAATTTTTGAAAAACACTACGTGTGTTGAAAATTATAATTTTTAAAACACGCCCCTGAATCTCGGGAAGCCGAATCTCACTTCGCACTTCGCCAAATTGCACTGAAACATTTCGCGTCAAAATTTGCGACAATGTAGCACGCACGTCTGGGAAGAGGTTGCTTGGGAAGAGGCTGGTAGGAACACACTCTTAGTCTCTGAAAAGATCCTAGGGCTTCTCTCAGCCCAACACCCCTCACACCTGCTCCAGCTCGCCTCGAACTTGCGTGATTCTGGTCAAGGACCAGTCACACCCCTGTGTTAAAGTCTGAACTAGGAAGAACAGAGGAGGCCGCCATGAAATGGCGGCCAAGGGTTTAGCTAGGAGCTGGACGAGAGTGTCGAGAGAGAAGAGAGATAGACTAGGAGAGAATGAAGTACAAGAAGGGGGTTGTCCCCCCTACAGTAGGATGCAGTTAGTAGCATAACTACCAAGCCTACAATTATATAAAAATATAATTTGAACACACCCCCTAGGCTTGGTAATGGCAAACCCACACAACCCACACACACACCCCCTAACCCCGGACACCCTCATTCTCGTGAGCAGCCGGGTATCGACCCCTCGTGCTAGGCTATGACACCCCCGGTCGAGAGGCAGCTGGCCGCATCTGGGCGGCCTCAATGACGACAGTGGCGGAGCTCGTGCTCAAGGCGGCTGTGTCGATGAGGACAGGCGGCGACTGCGGCGGCTGAGGGCTCTCGGCGGTGTGGCACGGGCTGGCGACGACCGGGCCGAAGACAGCAGCTACGGCAGGAGCAGGAGGAGATGCAGGGGAGGGAGAGGTGGTGGGGCTGCTGTGGTGGGGCTGCAGGACTTCAGCGCGGCGCCATAGGCGCGGCGCTTACTGGAGGGAGGAGCAGGCGGGACGGGGCCCAGGAGGGGCGCGACTGGGCTAGGAGGCACGGCAGGGCCCAGGAGGGGCGCGACTGGGCTAGGAGGCACGGCAGGGCCCAGGAGGGGCGCGACTGGGCTAGGAGGCACGGCAGGGCCCAGGAGGGGCGCGACGTGGGTAGGAGGCACGGCAGGGCCCAGGAGGGGCGCGACGGGGAGGTGGAACGGCGGAGCCGCCACGTCAGGGCGGCAAGCCCAGCACGGCTGCTCGACGTGGCAGCCATGCGACATGGCCGCCACGGCGGCACGGCAGGAGCGACGAACGCACGAGAACGCAGCGGAAAGCACGGAGGGGAGCAGGCCCAGGAAGGGCATCCCGCTCTGATACCATGTTAAAGTCTGAACTAGGAAGAACAGAGGAGGCCGCCATGAAATGGCGGCCAAGGGTTTAGCTAGGAGCTGGACGAGAGTGTCGAGAGAGAAGAGAGATAGACTAGGAGAGAATGAAGTACAAGAAGGGGGTTGTCCCCCCTACAGTAGGATGCAGTTAGTAGCATAACTACCAAGCCTACAATTATATAAAAATATAATTTGAACACCCTGCTGTAGCTCGCCTTGGAAGACAAGATTGAGTTTCAGGGCGAATTTCGAGTAATGCTGATTCGTCAGGCTCGGTAAAACAACACACTATTTTTCAGGCCTTAGAGAATGGGAACACATAAATTTCAGGTTTGACAAAAATCAAAACCTGAAAAATCAGGGTATGCCTAGAAAACACCTGATATACATGCTTTCAGGCCTTTTGGCCTGACATCTGAGGCCCTGCGTGCCGCCCATTCTCCCCATTCCTCGTGTGTCACTCACAGCCTAGCAGCCTAGCAGGCTGGCTCTCCACCCCAGCCCCTGTGAGGGCCAGCGCTTTCACTGTGCTGAGATGCTGCCATGCCATGCCAACCTGCCGACCTTACTTCACCCCACAAAGTCAATCCAGCCTGGCTCCCAGCCTTTGCCTGCCATCCATCGGGATCATTGTCACAACACAAATCGCCAAATCCCCACTCCATTCCCCTACCCCCCCCCCAATTCACGCCCCTCCGTCCCCCTATCCCAGCCGTTTCAAGAGCAGCTGCAGGTCCTGTCCCTCCGACGCCATGGGCTGGGGCCACACAGCCCCCAGCGGGGGTCGAATGACCCGGTACCCGTGCTGCAGGTACAGCTGCAGGGCGCCCTCGTTGCGCACGTCGCAGTGCAGCGCTGCTGTCCTGCATCCCCACTGCTGCGCCTGTGCCTCCGCCTCTGCTAGGAGCCTCCCTGCCACGCCCCTTCTCCTCCGCACCGCCCGCACTGCCATGTTGCTTATGTATGCGATGCCGGTCCTGCAAGAGAAGAGAAGGGTACGAGAGCCGTGTGGGGGGGCAGGAGCAGTGAGTGGGATGGGAGAGGGAGCGGGAATGGGAGCGGGAGGGGGAGGGAGGGAGTACAAGAGCAGGGGTTTCATTGGATGGGGTTGTGAAGGATGTGGGAGTGTGCAGCGCAAAGCCAGCAGCAGCCATGGATAAACTGGCATCAATGCCACAACTCCCTCCCACATGGCACGCATCCAAAGCACACCACTTCCCCACCACTTCCCCAACCACATGCTCAGGCTCGGAACAGCGAGTCCCCACAACCACCTCCATTTCTTCTACTCCTCTCTCTCCCCTTCCTCTCCTCCCTCCCTCCCTCACCCCGTCCCCCACCACCGACCTTCGTCTGTTGTGTGGCCTGCGGCGCGGCAGGAACTCCCCTGCGGTGTCAACGGTGACGGACCCCACCACCCCCCGTGGGCCCACGTTGAGCCCCGAGAAGGTCCAGGAGAGCACGGGCGGGCCCAGCAGCATGGACGCCAGCACGGGCCGCAGCATTGGCCCGCCGAATATGTCGCGCTCGCCGTCGAAGTCCTTCCACGCCGGGGTGGACGCTCGCGCAGGGAGTGAGGAGTGGGGTTTGATCAGGGGTGCAGGTGAGGTGGTAGGGGATGAGGAGGAGAGGGAGGAGGAGGTAGTGAAAGAGGCAGCGATGGCAGCAGCGGATGTGAGGGCGAAGGGCGGAGGGAGGGATTGGACGAAGACTGGCGAGTCAAAGGCCACTAGACACTTCTTGTACGTGCCACGTGGCATGCTGAGGTTGGCTAGGATCGCCGAGACCCTAGAGGCAGAAAGTGGAATGGGAGGATGGGGGGCAGACGATTATGTTGAAAGGTAAAGCTGACGTGGACGAGAAGAGAGCCCGGGATTGCGCAAAGACGACAGGGGCGGGCGGATGGGGGGAAATGGGGAGGGAACGTGGGGGAGGGGGGGGGGGGGGGGGGGGGGGGGGGGGTGGAGTGGGTTAGGAAGGGAGAAAGTGGGTGGCAGAGAAAGGGAGGGAGGGGAAATTGGGGTAGAAGGGGCCAGGAAAGTTCAGCAAGCAGCGGCACCAGAAGCAGCAACAGCGGTCGCTACCTGTCCCATCGTAGAATATAATTAAGCGGGAATGGCGCGTGCGGGAAGAACGCAGCGCAGTGCACGTCAGCAGCCTCCCAATACTCCTCGGGCCGCGCCTCCCGCACCGCCAGCGCCTCGGCGTCTCGCTCCAGGAACCCGCCTAGCCGCAAAGCCCGCTCGCGCAGTTGCTCTTGCCGCAGCCGTTCCGCGCTTCCCCTCTCCGCCTCCCCACGAAATACTCGCCGCGCAGGCACGACGCCGGTAACTGTCGCGGACGTTTCGGCGAAGTTCGTCGTGGCTTCGCCATTGGCGGAGACTTTTCCTGCCCGATGATGGCGCGACCCCGCGATACCCGCGCCACCCACGCTGCTCGCGCTGCCAGTGCCGCCGTCGCCCCGTCGATCCGACCCCCACGCTGCGCGGATTAAAGCGAGGCGCGTGGTTCTTGAGCAGGGGACGCGGGAATGTTGACCGGAACGAGAGAGCGCATTAGGGCGAGGAGGATTGAAGGATCCCGAGGAGTGGAGGGAGGAGAGGGAGGAGAGGGAGGAGAGGGAGGAGAGGGAGGAGAGGGGGGAGAGTGCGGAGAGTGCGGAGAGAGCGGACTGGTGGCATGGGGAGATCGCGTGGTGGCGCCGTGATCCCCGCAAGGAATGCGGACGACAGTCCGGTGAAAGGCGGTGCGGCGGGACGACGGGGAGCGGTGGGCGCGTGAGTTTGACGGCGGGCGGAGCTGCCATGGCAGGGGAGGCGGAGGTGACGATGGCACGGGGGAAGCGGATAAGCCAGCAGACGGGATTGAAGCCGGAAGTTATAGCCACGCAGTGCCTGGAAGTTTAGAGGATGAATACTGTCCACCGCACTCGCTCTGTACTGGGAGTCTCTTGCTTGGGAGAGTACCTGGTTCTGAACTGCGCTCTAGCACACACACACACACACCTAGGCATTGTGTCAGTCACCCGTTGGTCGGTATTCCCAAGGTTGGAGGCAGCAGCTGCAGCAGCAGCAGCAGCAGCAGGCAGGTGGGAATGCTCTGGTGGTGGGCAAGAGGAGGGGGTGGGTGGATCAACTAGTGGCTGTGGTGGAGCGTGCGGAGCACCACAGATGATCGGCTGCGAGGTGCTGCGAAAGTAACTTTCAGGGCACGATATAAGCGAAGCAACGCGAAAAGGTAAGATAGTACAGTACTACTAACTGATTGGTTGTGCCCACTGCCCGGCGAGTGGAGGAAATCCAACGGACTTGACGATTCATGAGCGGGAATCGGACGCGTGGAGGTTGAAGTGAATCTACCAATCAGGGCGGGTCCAAATAGTTCATTTCGGGGTTTGG